GAAAAAAAAAAAAAAAAAAAAAAAAATGGTATTAATAGTAATACTAGTACTGGTATTAGCAGTGGTATTAATACGAGAATTAATATTGGCACTGATAATGAACAATACTAAACGCTATGCATCATCTTCTTATCGTGTTGACTCATCTCTTTCAACAGATGTGAACGTTGTACCTCTTTGGCCAGGAAAACGAGTAAAGGTGCTAAATATGTAAATTATATATTGAACAAGCGATATATTGAACAACCTTTGTATCTCCTGACTAGGCAACGACAAATATCTCTAATGTATATATTTTGTTTGTACATGGAAATGCCTGGAAAGAAAAAAAAATTGCCAAACGTATAATTACAGCGGAAAGTACTACATTATATATCAACTACTGAAACAACTATTGAACCGAATCAAACTGATTGTACGATAACGAGCGTCTGCTACGTGCTGCATTAATCATTCATTTTCCATTGGGAGAGACGCACAGTACGTAGGTACAAGGTGCGATAATTGATGTTTGAAAAATCGAGCACGAAGTACGTACATATGCATATATATGAACGAATGAACGAATGAACGAATGAACGAATGAAACGAGAGAAACGTGTTCCATCCGGCAAAACATTGTAGCACTGAAAAACACAACACCGGAGGGGGCACAATTTCTGGACCATAAGAAGAGGGAGGAAGAGACACACGAACGTGCTGTCGGGCAACAAGAGACTCGGAGAGAAATGGAAAGAAAGAATGAGTGGGCACGCGAAAGAGAGAGAGAGAGAGAGAGAACAAGAGAGGGGTAAAGGGAGAGACGAAGAAAAAGCGGAAGGAGGCTATTGTGGCCTTACAGGGGTGACCCCAATGGTTCGATTAAACGAACCAATTTTGATCACACTTGATACAGAGAAGCTCAATTTACTGGCAAACGGACTGCAAATCGTTCCGGAGAATCCATGCTTACCTGCGTGACTGAATGGCGCTAGAAAAAGCAGTGCCACGATGAGATAGCAGAAAACATTAACTCCAATGTCTCGCATTTTCCTTCCTTTTCCCCTGGTCATACCCACGCTTGCTCTTTGTTTTTCTCTGCGTTTCTTCTTCGATTCACGACTCACGATCACATAATAACTAACAGTATTACTCAAAGCACACTCACGGTCGATGCGTGTATGCCACTCGTAAAACGTAATACAGAACGCACGGAATCTACATGTACGTCTTTCATCAAAGCATTCGTTCAGATAACCTAAAACCTTAGAACGAAACGATCAATAGGCACGCGTAAGCCGGCTCATTGCCGATCAGCCGGTCGTCACCAGTTTTGACAGATAAATGCTAGGCCGCACCGCGGAACGCGTTCAATCATCTGTTATTAAACGACCATTTACACTTATCGAACTCAATTGGCATCGAGAATCGCAGAATGCACTTCGATTTCGAGACATCGAGGTGGCGCTATGGTGCACGTCGCATTGGCGCGACAATCAAAACGAAATTTCACAGAGCAGCTGTTTAAACCAATTATTTCTAAATAATTTATCTACAAAAAAAAAAAGAACAATAAAACGAATTAATAAAGGATAACAATTATGTTCGATGTGTCTATTTCAGAACTTTAATTTGAATTTTTGCGTTTAACTGAGATACTGAAAAATCGATTGCAATTTCGTGCACTGCCTCGAATTTGTAACGAATAGATATTTTTAGATCAAGTAACTAGGGCAATAATATATTTCTCATCTTCTACATAAATCCGACAGTCAACTGACGAAAATCGATTTCTTGAGTTATTTTTAAAAAGTAGAATCTCCGCTCAACTTTCCTCAAAAAGCATAGAATTCCAACGTTTTTAAGCGTAGCTACATCGTATGAAAGGTACTCTGCACACGGTATCAAATCGATCATTGTAAATTCAACATTGTTTCCAATTTGTCTTTAACACGTTAAAAAATATTCTGTCTATTGAAATGTAGAACTGCCTAAAACGTAGTTGCGATGACAGCGGCACGTGTCATGGCGAGTGTGTTGTTATAAACGAAAGTCGTGTATCGTGAGTTCTACGTAAAATTCGAAAGCTATCAATTACAATATTCAAGATGAGGGAAGAGACAGTGTTAAGTTTAAAGTGGCACAGTTTCCCATCGCATTTGGCGGTTTCCCTCGATACATGCTACGAGAAGCAACAGTTTGTAGATCTTTCTTTAGTATGTAAAGACGGAACAATTTTGAAATGTCACAAAATGGTACTGGCCAACTCAAGTTCGTTCTTTCGTCGTTTGCTTGTTGCCAACGATCATCCTCATCCTATGATTATTCTTCACGATATCGAGGCGGATGATCTTAAGACTATCATCAATTTCATGTACTGTGGTGAAATACAAGTGGTCCAAAGTGAGGTTAGAAGGCTGTTGAAGTTGGCCGAAATTTTGGAAGTCACTGGATTGCGGCATATTCAAACTTCTGTTTTGGTAGGAGAATCGAACAACACGCCTCATGATGCGTCCAGAAAGACGACCACGGTATCTCGTATAAAAATTGAAGAAACAAAAGGTTTATCTACCAAAACAGTACCTGAGCATGATCCTAATATTAGACCACAGAATAAGACAAACAGCCAATCGACAAAATTTCCATCGTCTAGTCATCTTCACAAAAATAGGAATAAAGTACCGTTAGAAACTACCAAGAAAAGTGAAGAGGGTAACATTAATTTATTAAGTCAACGTTTAGACACTGGGAGATCTGGAATCAGTATTGTAGACATTAACGATATGCCAAGCACCAGTAGAGGAATTTCCAATCCACCAGCTCAAAAGAGAAAAGACACTTCTGAACCTGTTATTAGTTGGCCTCATGTTCTATCTGCGATATCGAAGGACAAATCTTTGCCTTTGAAAAAACTATGTATTATGGATGAAGTTGAAATTACAGCTGGAAAGTCATCAATAAGTAATCAAGAGTATCAAAGAAATGAACCTTTAGACAAAAGAAAACATAGGACTAATTCAGAAAGCAATGAATCTATGAAGTGTGCAGTTTATATAAAAGATGAAGTAGATATATTTGAAGTAGAAGAAGATGAGGATATGGACCCCCTTGAAGTTGAAGAAATTGAAAATGAAAGTTTAGAGACTATAATGGGACCATCGCAAATGTTTTCTGTTACAAATATGGAACAAAAGTATTATAATACAGGAACACTTTCAGAATATTCTTCAAGAAAGGGATCTAATGGTTAAAAGATAATGTCTTTGAAAATAATATATTACTTTGAATATAATACTTAGACTGAATAATACTTTTTTGCAATTATTAATATTTCTTTAACACGTTGATTGTCTATTATAAATTGAATATTTTCTAAGGCTCAAATATACATTTGAACTCAGTTTGACTTATAATTAATAAATTTGTTTCTCCAACATAATTGAAATTGAAACTTTTCATTTTCATTTCTCCTTAGAAGAATTATCTACTGCCGAGTTAACAAAATAGACTAAGGTGAAATTATTTCAATGAATATTGTACGAAATTATAAAAGAAAATCATAGTTACAAAACAAAGTATCTATAATTACCTGTATATATATTTATATGTTGTTACTATTTAATATGTCAATGAAAACTGTTGCAAATTATTTATATAATCCTATGTAATAGGATAGAAATGTAGCGATCAACGTGTTAATAGAAAAAGCTATGAAATTTTAACATATATAAATTAACAACAGAACATCTTACTTGTTACTTTCTTACATGATCCTGTTCATTTTATAATAAATTAATTAAAAATGAATAGTTTGTGTTTAATCATCTAAACCAATCCACATATATGTAATTCATGTTACTATGTTACATGTTTCTATGGAAACCTTTCATTAGCTTTCAACATGGTTATTCTTGATTAGCTAATTCTATGATTAGCTCAATCTCCTTTCATTATTTTTATTAAAAAATATTTAGAATATGGATCAGACAATCACAGATCACAGTAATTTGAACAAAAAGATAATAAAAGGCCAACAAATTATGGATGACTCAACAATTGATAAACATGTAACAGAAGAAGAATTTCAGAACTTCATGCATCGCGTTACTGAAGTCGGTAAGTATTATTTTCTTTCGATTATGAACGTAATCTTTGCTTTATTCTAATTTTTTAAGAAAAAATTGTGAAAAAGTTGGCTTCTCCTAATCCTGAAGAACAAAAGCAAGGACAAATATTGGCCGACGAAATTTTAGAGAAACGATCAGAAAAGAATATATGCGATGATACTGAATTAAAAATAAAAATGAATCGTACAGTGATTAACAAATGTTCAATCAATGAAAATTCTACTGAGGAACAAATGTCTAAAGGTACCGAATAATCATCCTTGTATTCTGCACTTTCATACTAATTGAAATTTTTTTACATTTACACAGAAGCGTTCATAAGAAGCGTGGAAAAAGATGCAAAAGAGAGAGCAGAGAACCGAAAGATTAGAAACGAACGTGCAGAAACATTGAAAACAATTGGTAATGGTGCATTTAGGGAGAAAAATTACGAAAAAGCGGTAACATATTACAGTAAAGCACTTGAACAACGAAAAGATTCGACCGTGTTATGGAATAATAGAGCTTTGTCATATATTCAGCTTGGATTATTCGAAAAAGCCTTAGCCGATTGTGAATGGGCATTAAAAGTTAATAATACGAACTTGAAAGCACTCCTAAATAGTGCTAAGTGTTATAAACAACTTGGAGATGAAATCAAATATAAAGAATATATTCAGTTAGCAAAAGAGAGAAATCCACATTTCAACAAATTTATTAATGGTATACTCAACATTTTTTACATTGGAAACATTTCTGTTAAAACTAAATTTACTTAATTTTTTTTTACAGAATTTGAAGAAAGTATGGACATGCGCGTTAATTATCAAGCCTAATAGTAAACATTATGTAGCCTGTATATTTCTTATGTAGCCTGAATATTTCTTTTGTAATAATCTAAATGTATTTAACTGGCATCAAGACGAACCTATTTTTGTCGCATAACCTTCTTTAATCTCTGAAAGAGATCTAGGTTCATGCAGAAAGACTGTACATTCAATACCCTGAAAAAATTTATTACTGGAATTGTTTGAAACTGTTATACTTTATAGTATAAATACTTATACCTGCATACGTGCTGCTCTAACAAATCCCTCATTTGCTGATACTGTAATGCTTTTCATATCTTCCCCTGTTGCAAAAACCAATCTAGATCTATCTTTAATTTTACCACCCAGATTAAGCTTTTCCATTATTCTGCCCGTTGATATATCTTTAACAATTTGAACTTTATTCAGTAATTCTTTTGCCCTAAAAGTCTCTTTGGGTCCACCAATAACATCTATAATGTTCATAAAATTTTCATAAGCAGTTTGACAGACAATCAGTTCCTTTCCCTTGAATAAATTCTCTAAAATTGGTTTCACTGGACATTTCCTCTCCATTTCTGCTTGTTGTGTGAGTAAAGGCTCACGATAAATAAAATGATCATATCCATTGGTCATATTTGTCACGTATGCTAATAAAGTTGACACATCCAAATTAAGAACATTTATTTCAGTTTTAAGGGAAAATGTATTTAAAGTTTCTAGATTTGACTTTATGCTCTTTTTGTATTCATCCAAAGGTTCCTCAGTAGATTCTAACGAATGCATCCACGTTGAAAATCTGTCCTCGCTATCTACCTCCAGAAGAATAGATACAACCATGAATATCATTCCTCAATTAATGGTATTATACATATTCATGCATTTACCATATTAAGAAAACATTAATACCATGTATATCTATATTTTTTACATCTTCACACTGTATCTTATCCCCTTCAATGATTATTCCCATGTGTGCCAAACGTGTAGCTAATGGAATTTCTATGCCATAAGCAAAATGGAATATAATATCAGGTGGCCTATACAAATGTGGATAACACTTTGCGCATTCCAAGTAACTCGTTGCTTGATCAAGCACAGATTTTTGCCCATATTCTCCATTACCCATTGAAATCATTGTAAGAGCTCTAGCATTTCTAGCGATAACCTTTATCCATGATGCACCACCATCACATACAATATCTACTTCTAAGCGTGACTTTTGATACTTAAAGGGTTTCATAATATTGGTAGGTTCATTAGCACAAAAAAGTCGTGCTACGATTGCATTCAAATGAATCAAATTTGTACTTTGTAGATGTTCTTTCTTTACATTTTCTGTAGATTGCACCTTTATTGAGAATAGTATATAGTTATAATCCTGATTTTCTTGATTTAAAAATATAAAACAGTTCAACATCCTTTCATATTTATAACTAACAAGATTAAGAGGAACAACTAGAATGAATTGTTTTACAACTTGCCCAATTATAGATACATAGAATCAGTACCCAACTTCATGAGAGAAATACATGTATATCGACGAATGAAGTTTTAATTGTAATTTCAAAGTGACATACCTTTTCTAAAAATCTAATTTCTTGTTGAATCTTTCGTATAAGTTTTTCAGTCCCGTCAATCTTTGTCACAAGTTTCAGTCGGTCTATCGTGGCTTTGCCACTCTCTATTTTTTCCTCGAGACATGCTAGAAGTTCAGCCTTTTCCTCCATCCTTCCAGACTAAACGACTTTCAATAAGTTGGCCATAAAAAATTCTATTTTCTGTGGCAATTCGAATAATTTTGGATAGTCCACGACCGACGAACGTAGTGTTAGCAGCCATCTTGCATCACAGTTCAATATCGCGTAATGTCGTCGGGTCGCTTGTCAAACTCGCCTATTAACCTCACAAACTTTTGTATTTCATTGAATAATTGACAGTCAAACATAATACATGAATCGTAATGATACCACGTTCCAACGAATCGTGCGAAATGTAAAACTACAGAGAGAAAACTAATTCGTGAGTGTGAAGCGAACGAAAACGAGCTTTCTTATCGCACCGTAATTATCGCGCGCCGTCAAGTTTTCTCTAACAATAATAAAGAATATCGCGGTATTTACGCTGCAAAATGTCTAGTGCGAAGATCATTGAAAATCCAGAAATACCGGGTGAGTTTCTATCCTAGGAAAGAATTTTCCTCATTGATTCACGTTGTAGAGGCATATGCCCTAGTGAATCTAGTGTATCGAAAATATGCAAACTTGTGTGAATCTCCCGAACATATCGAACATTGAAAATATGTACCCAACATTCGACACGTTGACGTTGATATATTTATAACAAAACATTTTTTACGAATAGAACAACTGTAGACACATGCATCATACGCTGTATATAACGGGTTCTGTTACAAATAACCGGATGTGACTTTTGATATGTCTATATCGGTCAATTATCAAAACAATTACTCAAAGCACACCCGTATTGCACTCTACATCGGACACGTGAAATGGAAAGATGAGTTAACTGTAGAATACTTCTATGCTCGCTGTCAAAAAAATTTAGTATTTCACTGTCGAAATCAGCTGACACGGCTTAAAATATGAAATAACAATACACGTATATATCAATGCAACGGTGTGACACACTTCTGTCGTTTTTATGTGGAAATGCAAAATTTATGAATGAAATCGAGATATATCGATGAATCGTAATTAATTAAATGGCAATACAAATATAAATGCTATGTCAAATGTGGTATCCGCAATACACATATAAACATTTGGTTTACCATTTAAACGTAGCATGATATGATCGCTGATACTTTATGAACATTTCGTTGGCCATCACCATCCACTTTTACTTCCTACGCGCGATACTAGCTTTTTCGTCAAATTTGTCCAATATATTATTCCCGTTATCTCGATGGTACAAAGTTAATCGCCGGTACTAAAGCAAGTCGTCTGCAAGTACTTGGAAAATATATCTCGCATGTTGCAAATAAAAAATTGCCAATATTACGGGTTTTATGTTCGCGGCCTTGTTCAAAATTAGCAAAATTAGTCACAGCCAAGCACGCGATTAAATCTGATCTTCGAGCAAATTACATCGATACGCATCTCTTCTTCGAACTTTATTACTTTTTATTTTCGGTGGTATTATATTCGCGCATTTTTATGCGTGCTTAAAATCGTTCGGTCATTTTATTAACGCCATAAATCCAACGATTAACGGAAGGTTCTCTTAGCATTTTCGTTTTATGTACCGTCCACAAAAATTTTCGCCGTTGTTGAAATAAATTTTCCATTTGTGTGTGTAATACAGGACTAGAATGTATTCTGCCGCCACCTCCGCCACCTCCGCCTCCAGTTACAACGTCGAAAAGCAACAACCTACCAATTACGACGGAGCAACAACAACCTGTAGCAACAAAAGCAACAACGACCGATTTATCGACCAGCGAAACAGCGGGAAATTTAACGACCATTCAAACAACGGCCCCATCGTTTCCAAACATTACCGTGCCAACACCGTATATCATGCATCCAGCGATGCAGCCACAAACACCTGGACAACCAGCTACTCCCTGGTGGATACCTACAGACGCCGACACGTCGGACCTTTATGCACGATGGTATAACACGACCTATAAGGCGGCTGCTACGGCGGTCGTATCGCCGCCGATACAAGTTTCCAACAAAGCGAAAAACAAGTATTACAAACGCAAGAACGAATTCATCGATCCTGCGCAAGATGCAGGTAATTAGAGAACATTTACAATATGTATCTGGGTAATCTGCGACATACGAGACGCAAATGGAATATATTTATTTCAGTTAAGAATTTGTCCGACTTGTATAGAATAATGGCATCGCTATGATCGCTACATTACATACAAATTATCATTGAGAAACTCCGATTGATTTGTATATTTCTATTTCGTAGAGAAAGTTGCAAGCGCCCAGAGGGAACTGGCAGCACTAATGAAACCGCTGAAATGTGATCTGTGCAATGCAGTTGTAAGGCTCGATTACTTTATCCGATAAAAAGACTCCGTTGAATACGCCGTGTCACGCTTGTTTGACTAACACGTATTTAACTAAATATGCCAGCGGATATATATATGCTGATCATAAAAAAATTGAACCATTTCAGATGAACTCTACGTTACAAGCTAAGTTACATTACGACGGTAAGCCGCATCAGAAAAAGGTATCCATGTTTTTGAATCAAAGCGTAAAGAAACAAAAGACCGAAGACGGCCAAGTTAGTAGCACGACCACCGACTGGCAAAACTATTGTGATGTAAGCAGCATTTGAATTTTCGTTTATCGAGTGAGATTAACAGCAGGCAGAACGAACGTTGTTGCACAAGCAGAGCTCGTTTGATTCTTGCAGATTTGTAAAACGTGGTTCACGTCGCAAACGGATGCGACACAACACTACGCTGGTAAAAAACATATTAGAGCAGCGAACGGCGGACGTCGTGCGAGGTACAGAGATGTATACTTGTCTCAAATTATTCTTAGAAAGATAGCTGTGTCAGCCGAGATCGTCATACCAGAGCGTTGAATTCTACAGGCCGTCGAAGAAGTCGCAAAATCAAAATCAGTACAGTCAAATAGATCCCAGCGGCCGATTCGGGATAGGAACGGCTTTTCAGGCGGAAGTGCAATCTACACCGGCACAGCCGGCAGTACCTGACGGTACCAATACGGTGCCTAAGCCAGCAACCGGCCCCATCTACACACCACCTCCTTATCCGACGCCGTTGCGTTGCGATCTGTGCGGAGTTTCGGCTAATCGGCAGGACCAATTAGAAACGCACAAGCGTGGTGCTAGACACTTGCGAATGCTCAGGATGAACGGGTTGCCTGTCCCCGAGCCAGGTTAGTATTTCATCTGTGATCTGCTTTATAAATGTATCAGGATACTTGTACACTATAATATAATACATGATATAATATATATGATACTTATGATAAAAATCCACAGTCTGTCGATGAGATGCAACTCTTGATACTTATGAACGAGGATATACATTGATACGTGGCAATATTTATCCTATGAATTTTTTAGCTACCGAGAGCGAGGTGACTCCTATTCCTGTACCTATAGATTATTCTATTTACCGAACACCATCAGGTAGGGATGGCGACTTCTCGCCTTTTTCTAAACGATGTGCAATCTAGTAGTAGCGATATCTGTTATATCCCTTAGCAAATTGTTTTGTTCGCAGGCCAGTATTATTGTGCACCGTGCAATGTATCGTTAAACTCCGAGAGTACGTTTGCTCAGCATATGGAGAGCAAAAAACATAAAAATCAATCGAATCCAAAGTCTCCGTCGAACGCCGTGGTGGTATCGAAGAAGGCTAGATTCAAGAAGAAATAAGGCTACGGGAGATATTCCGTTCATGCTATTTCTACGTCTCTGTCCATTGTTTTCACTGAAACTCTTCTCTCATTTTTCGATTACGCAGATGATGTATTGTCGTTGTATCGCAGGCAACGTGCAACGATCTGTGCCTAAATATAAAGAATAAAACTCTTGTTCGATAGCAGGGTGTGCCAGCGAGACTCTCGAAGAAGTCAGTAACCTCTTGAAATGTTCCAAGATCACCCGCGAGAGACTAACGAGAATTATGAATTAATACGACGATAGATCCGATCGTCGCGCGACTGATGAGAAAGATAAATCTGTTAGCGTTAATCGGTATTTAATTTAAAATACCGATTAACTCTAAATTCGATTTTCAGTAAATCGAACGGTTATTTAGACGGTAGCTCGTTAATCGTCTCGGTGGCTGCACGACTAATCGCCCACATTTATTCAATTACGAAACCATTAGCTCGAACGCTCCCCACCGTTCAATTCGCGAAATCACGTGCGCTGGTACGAACGCGCGTTTGTCGCGTCCAAGTGAAATTTATGCGTCGTTCACTCCCGACCTTCCACAGAATTTATGGCTTGAGCGAACGAGCCATACCGAACCCTCCTCTATTAATTACCTCCTAAGACACGTATGACGGATCAACGTTTCCAGCCTGTTTTTACTGTCACTTCCCCGCGACGAATATATCTTTTGACAACGGTGACCAAATAAAAATGTCGGTGTAAAGCATGAATCAACGAGCAAGAGACCCTGGAGCCACATTCACGATGCCCAAAAATGGCATGACATGTAAAAGCTCCTCTGTTTTTTTAGAAAGGAAGAAGGAAGAATTAACCACCGCGCTGTATGCGCGGAAAAGAATTTTTCAGAGGGATAAAATTAGTCGTCGTTGGTATATCACTGAGATGGAGGAGCTCCATGTAAAAATTTCAGAAGTAGCTCGAAGCTATTAAAAGAAGACGAAAACTTTAGACAGCGTGGATGTCGTGCTCTAAAAATTCCTACGAGAACTACATTTTCTTTTCTCTTTTGTTCCTGCGAGCACTGCATTCCGCTGATTTTCCAACAAGCTCAATTGTCTAACTATTTTTCTCCGGCGCTTCTCTCCAGCTTTCCGTCACGGAGCTTCGACTCCTACTATTCTAACACAACGTGTAAAGATTAGGATCGCTCTCGCACGGACTTGTAGATCGTTGCTTTATACCTGCGTCTCGGATTTTTATGACCCTTGGTTTAACATGTTTCCTTCCTTTTTTTTTTTTTTATTCCTCGTTGCCTCCTCCTACGTTACCGAAATCCCTTTTCCATCTTCTCGTCTGTCGAACGCATACCCTACGTGCCATTATTTCTTTCTCTACTCGCGTGTTTACGACGCAAGCAGCGAGAGATGTTGATTTTATGCAATGTAATAGCGTAGAAGATGCCGAGAATTTCCAGCAGGGATGAAGAACAGAAGTCAATTCGTGAGAAAATCATAAAGGTAATACTCGTACACAATAAGAACGAGGGACGGAAATCAATTTGTCACGGGATCAGGTGTAATGGGCGTAAAAACTTATTAATCACCGCGCGTCCGCTTAGAAATTCGATAAATTCCCGCCGATGACTGGAGAGAATTTCTGAGAACCTGAAAGCGGTCGTGAGTCGTCTTCCTCTGAAATTGCTGACACTGACACGCCAGGATCGTGCAATAAACGAGAGCAAACGATCGAACTTCGTTCGAGTTCGATTAAAGATGAAAATAAAATAAAAGAAAGAAATTCTTAAGTAAATCAAACCTGATGCCTTCAAATCGAACGCAACTTACCTCAAACGATATATACGATGAAACGAATCGCGTTGCGAAACATATAATAGACTCAAACATATATAAAGAACGTAATGAAGCTCATAACCCGTGATTGTGCAACTATTCACGCAGAAATCCTCTTCCGTGGTCGCGTGGACCTGCGTTATTAGCAGGACATATCGATCGAAAGATCGTCTCGGATAATGAACACCGGTTGAACTCGGATGTAAACTCTCTAAACTATCGAACGAATAAGTTTACAGTGTGCAACATTGTAAATTAGAATTTTTAATAGAATTTTAAACTTTTTACATAGACCGCATCGATTGAAATATAAGTGAAAAATTATTCTCCGTTAATCGTTCTGGTTAGACCGGAAGACAATTCCACAAGCAACTCCAAGTCCACGGTTAAAGGCAGCGGTCACGAATTTCCTTTTCACGCGGACGTTCATTTCTAATTCCGCAAACGAACGGCTAAGTTTGTTAGCGCGAGAAACGGTACTGGTGCCAAGCAAGAGCAGCCGCTCCTTTGTCTCACCGAATCCATTGTTTCATCTGAGAGTAATGAATTGGTAAAAAAAAAAAAAAAAAAAGAAAAGAAAAAGAAAAAAGCAGCTCGGAGAGGCAGCAGGCGAACGAGAATGCAAGGATTTCTTTTCTATACCGTTCGCCAGCCCTCGAACAAATTCGTACAATTATTTCTCGATTAGGCGAGATCGTTGGCCACTGCGTGGAACAAGGCCAGATTGCCAGCCTCTATTACAGAAAACGAGAAGAAACAACACGTGTGTGCCACTACAGGCAATGCGGACCGCCTAATCGTGGAAACTTCGCTGGACGACACACCGGCTTTAATAAGACGTTTTTGCGAATCAGCGTGTGGAAAGATGTAACAGTTGACGGCGACGAAGACCAGGGGAACGCGAGACGGGACGAAAAGAAAAGAAGGGGAATAAAAAAAGTGTGTTCTCGGGCGCATCTCGGTGGGGCTGACCTTGCAAGTCTTCACGGGCCACCAATGTAGACCGACAAGAAAATAGAAAATCGTGCTCCTAAATGCGGGCGGTGTGATCTCATGCGGAAATAGCCGTCCGTCTATGCTCTCCACCGCGGCGACATAGAAAGGCGAACGGAGAATCTTGATCGGTCGACCGATTACCTCGTCACTGGGCTTCCAAACGAACCGATAGACAGTTTTGCCTTCGCAATCCGCCAACGAAAGTTCGTTTGCGAACAATTCCAATCATTTTCCGCTCGATTTTGTCCAACGCTCTTAACCCTCTTATCTTTCTATCTTATCAACCGCCAATAATTCTGTCGTTCAACGAAACCTCCTATTTCTTCTCTCAATGTTCTCCCAATGTTTCGTTAATGTCATTTATATAAATTAACTTTCTATCCTAATTGATGTAGTTTTGTAACGCGTAATATGTTGTTGTTTTAAATTCTACCAATATAATACAACAGTTAGATCTTGTCGTGTACAGTGCTGATGGAATTATATGAAAATTATAAGAAGCTACTGGAAAGAATGTTTTCACGACTTATTTTGTGTGATGACAATACAGCTGAGTGTACATTGCTATACAAAAATATTACAAAAAGAAAAGGACGCACTTACCTAATCGTACAGTGGATTCGCGTCGAACGAACTACAAGTTATTATCCAATTTTGGGAATTCGTGGTCGACGAGATAAAAATATTTACAAGATTGGCGAGATAACAAGCTTGCTCTTCGTGTGATGATTCATTGCCGCACGTAATCTTTTGTCGCATTGAATGACGAATCAATTCTCACTGATCATAAAATATTATCGATATTTTTATATCTCGCAATTAAATTACTTATATAGACGCAAATACTTACATAGATTTGAAAATGAATCACGAAGCATTCTGTTAGTCGTCTACGGTCTTCAATATCTCGATAAAGGTAATTTTGTCATCATCAGTTGTGGAAACTCTAAACGAAATAATCTCACATACACTAGCAGTATTCGTAAACAACATGGTAGAGACATGCACGGATTTGAATTCGGCAATGAGAGAAATTGACAGCGACAGCCCGACCGATGATGAATGCGCTTGCAACAATCAAAGTTGCAATAAATTACCCACGATGCATTTCGAATCGATCACGTGATCGAGAAGTTCTAGAAAACCTATAGGAATCGATCACGTGATTTCAATTTGCAAGAAATTACCCAGTTTGCACTGCGGCAGATCACGTGACAGTGGATGGCTGATTTTCGAAAGAGCAGCGGATTCGTCGCATGGCTAATTAATGAGACAGTTACACAGGTAAGTGATCAAGTATTGCGTTTCATTTACGACAAAACATCATTTACATTGTCGAGGTTTGCATTCGCGAATATATTTTCCGTGCGAGTAAAAATGATTACATCATTTTCTTGCGATTTTTTAAATCGCACAGGTCGCCCAGGTTAGAAGATCTATGGCTTCTGTGTACGGCGAGGGAGCGGCTCGATTACTAAGTTCCCGAAAGAAAGAAAGAGGTAAACGACAAAGGGGAACGAGGGCAAATTTTAAACGATATTTCGTCGTGGTCGACGTTTCGATCGTGGACTAAAGTCACCAGGAATTCAAGTCCGGAACTTTGCGGATGTGTATGAGAACGCCCGCTGTCATACCGCCGGCGTGATTGCGCATGCGCGCGGCTTACACTTGACGGGCTCAAAAAATCAATGACCCCGCTCGGTCGTGAGCCTGCTCACATCTTTTTCTCAACGAGGTAAGAAGATCGAAGAATAAAATCAGGGAACGGTAAACGAGGGAAAAAACGTGGACGATCGCAGCACCGATCGGAGTGCGACCGAGGCGGAAATTTCAGTAGGAATGAGAAAGAAGCGATCGAGGAAAATGGACGGTAAGGGTGCAGCCCCGGTGGCGGCGCTGCTGTAAACCGGCCGAATAGCGGTTCGGTGAAACTAGCCGAGCGACCTCGGCTCGTCTCGGCTCGCCGCGTTAGTTCGTGTTCTCTCGCAGCACACGGTGGACGTGTTCTGA